ATAAGCCATAAGATCACAAGAACTTGATTCATATCAAAAGGGGGAAAAAAAAGTGTGTTAGTAAAAAATGTATCTTGTGTTTTGGCACTAATCAAGTTGAGATAATACTTAACATTTATCTCCCAACTAATTGCTAGACCAACAAGCAAAGGCATAATTCAATGCCAGAGAACAACGGCAGTGATAAATGTCGCCTGTCTTTTCCAAAACTTGTTCTTGGTGAGTAAATGTGGCCAAGATTTTGCTGTCAAAATGGCTTGCAACTTCGTGTAGAGCAAAAGTTGGACGGAGAGAACGGTTTTAAAGAGAAGCATTGTGAAATACGAAGGTAGCAAATAGTGATGGCCTCTCATATGGCGCTTTTCCACTGCGTGGTACGACTCGGCTCGGTTTGCGTTTCCACTGCAGTTTATGCTGCGTTCCAGGCAGGTTTTTGAGCCCATAAGTCACGACTTCAAACCACAACTCACGATTTTGTAGCGTTGGTCACGCCAAATTACGTGAGCGCAAGGAATTGTGGTAGCTAGATGTAAACAAACTTCTAGAATAAACAGATTATTTTGTTATATATATTTGATAAGTATGTAATTTTTGCACTACCCCCTGTATAGGCTCTGTGCACAGCTGCAGTCTTGACAGAAAGGGGCTGCCATTGTTGTTTCGCGGGCTATGTGACGTCAGAGCGCGGAACTGGGAGTACATCGATCTAGTACGAGTTCACGGGTGGGAAGTCACGGGTTTGACTGCCGTTCCAGTGCACTTGCACGGGTAGAAGGTTGGAAAAACACGGGTTACGGGTTGCCTGGAACCCGTTAGTACCGCTTTAGAGTGGGTGGGATTGTTCACATGTCGTTATAGTTTCACCGCCTGAAAAACTTTTTCATTCCGCGTCGCCCCATCAAGCTCTCACTGGATCCGCTCCTCTGCTATCAACGAGAGGAACGTCTGTACTTGCTCAACAGACAACGAAAGCCATTTTTTGGTTGTTAAAAAAAGGTGCGCTCGTTCAAAACGGTTGCGTTCGTTCCTTTGCTGGCTTGCTGATTTAAGTCTAGCGGGTCTGTTGTGTCTCATGTTGCAAGTTCAGTGACGCAGGTAGTGACGATTCTCTCTGGCCAATCAGTGATCAGCAGAGTTTACACGTCACGTTTTGGTAATGGTACCTCAACCGAGGTAGTACAGAAAAAAGTACCAGGTACCAGGTACTGTACCCAGTGGAAAACCCCCCAAAAGTGAACCGTACCGAACCGTGCCGTACCATGCAGTGGAAAAGCGCCAATATATTCCCAATGCTTGCAGAGTTAGCTGTGGAAGTCCTGAACTCTTCAAATCCTTCACACAGGTTGACTCAAGCCAAAGGCAATACGGGCAAACACAAAAACAAAACAATCGTTTTACTAAAACAAAATAGAAAAATAACTTGGATCCAAAAAAATTCAAGATGGCATTTCATGGTAAACAAATACTTTACAACGTGATGGTCTAAGCTTTGCTTATTTTACAACAAAAACAAAAAAATACCCCTACGTACCCTAACAAAACGACTGTGAGAACCCAATGGCAATAATGCAACAGTGGTGGTTGATTGAGTACATATGAACACACATGTATCTCAGTTTAAACAGAGTACATCTCTGCAAATGTGAGTGTATTAGTTTTTGAGACCCTGAATGCATCTGCACACAGATTAGCGTGTCCATCATCAGATTCTGTTCCCTCTCCTAGGCGTTACATTGTCCCAAGAGGTTCTCCAAAACGGATCTTCTGGCCTGCTTTCAAATTAAAGGTAAAATCCCGTGGAGCTTCGAATAAAAGTACAATAGTAGAGCCCAAATTGAATTCGCCCAGGTGTTCTCCTTTTCTCATGCTGATGCCTTCCCGGTTGTTGTTTGTTACATAGCTGAAGTCATTGTAAGTTCCTTTGCTGTATCGAGGGTTGTTGGTGCGGAGCTCCTAAAGAGAAAAAACACTCGTTATTGAAACTGCACTACAACCAAATGGTTTGCATTTTTAAAATTCAACTATCCTCTAAATCTTTTTATGTTTTTTAATCATCGCTCCGGCCTGACAGGGCATCATCACAGTATGGTAAGGGGCGTAACATTTCCGTCACACGCTTGAGGTATTCGGCCAATCATTTGCGTTTCCACTGCAGTTTATGCTGCGTTCCAGGCAGGTTTTTGAGCCCATAAGTCACGACTTCAAACCACAACTCACGATTTTGTAGCGTTGGTCACGCCAAATTACGTGAGCGCAAGGAATTGTGGTAGCTAGATGTAAACAAACTTCTAGAATAAACAGATTATTTTGTTATATATATTTGATAAGTATGTAATTTTTGCACTACCCCCTGTATAGGCTCTGTGCACAGCTGCAGTCTTGACAGAAAGGGGCTGCCATTGTTGTTTCGCAGGCTATGTGACGTCAGAGCGCGGAACTGGGAGTACATCGATCTAGTACGAGTTCACGGGTGGGAAGTCACGGGTTTGACTGCCGTTCCAGTGCACTTGCACGGGTAGAAGGTTGGAAAAACACGGGTTACGGGTTGCCTGGAACCCGTTAGTACCGCTTTAGAGTGGGTGGGATTGTTCACATGTCGTTATAGTTTCACCGCCTGAAAAACTTTTTCATTCCGCGTCGCCCCATCAAGCTCTCACTGGATCCGCTCCTCTGCTATCAACGAGAGGAACGTCTGTACTTGCTCAACAGACAACGAAAGCCATTTTTTGGTTGTTAAAAAAAGGTGCGCTCGTTCAAAACGGTTGCGTTCGTTCCTTTGCTGGCTTGCTGATTTAAGTCTAGCGGGTCTGTTGTGTCTCATGTTGCAAGTTCAGTGACGCAGGTAGTGACGATTCTCTCTGGCCAATCAGTGATCAGCAGAGTTTACACGTCACGTTTTGGTAATGGTACCTCAACCGAGGTAGTACAGAAAAAAGTACCAGGTACCAGGTACTGTACCCAGTGGAAAACCCCCCAAAAGTGAACCGTACCGAACCGTGCCGTACCATGCAGTGGAAAAGCGCCAATATATTCCCAATGCTTGCAGAGTTAGCTGTGGAAGTCCTGAACTCTTCAAATCCTTCACACAGGTTGACTCAAGCCAAAGGCAATACGGGCAAACACAAAAACAAAACAATCGTTTTACTAAAACAAAATAGAAAAATAATTTAGAGCCAAAAAATCTGGATGGCATTTCATGGTAAACAAATACTTTACGTGATGGTCTAAGCTTTGCTTATTTTACAACAAAAACAAAAAAATACCCCTACGTACCCTAACAAAACGACTGTGAGAACCCAATGGCAATAATGCAACAGTGGTGGTTGATTGAGTACATATGAACATCTCAGTTTCTCAGTTTAAACAGAGTACATCTCTGCAAATGTGAGTGTATTAGTTTTTGAGACCCTGAATGCATCTGCAAGCGTGTCCACGTGTCCATCATCAGATTCTGTTCCCTCTCCTAGGCGTTACATTGTCCCAAGAGGTTCTCCAAAACGGATCTTCTGGCCTGCTTTCAAATTAAAGGTAAAATCCCGTGGAGCTTCGAATAAAAGTACAATAGTAGAGCCCAAATTGAATTCGCCCAGGTGTTCTCCTTTTCTCATGCTGATGCCTTCCCGGTTGTTGTTTGTTACATAGCTGAAGTCATTGTAAGTTCCTTTGCTGTATCGAGGGTTGTTGGTGCGGAGCTCCTAAAGAGAAAAAACACTCGTTATTGAAACTGCACTACAACCAAATGGTTTGCATTTTTAAAATTCAACTATCCTCTAAATCTTTTTATGTTTTTTAATCATCGCTCCGGCCTGACAGGGCATCATCACAGTATGGTAAGGGGCGTAACATTTCCGTCACACGCTTGAGGTATTCGGCCAATCACAATACACTGGATAGCTGGCCAATCAGAGCACACCTCGCTTTTTTAGAACGATGCGCTTTGTAAAAATCGACGCGTTTCAGAAAGGCGGGGCATACAGGAGAAACAATAATGTACAGTATGTGGAAAATAATGTGTTTTTTGAACCTTAAACCGCATAAACACATTTCATTACACCAAATACACAAAATAATGTTCTTTTTAGCAGCATCATATGACCCCTTTAAGCCATTTTAGTATTTAAAGGGATAGTTCACCCAAAAATTTAATTTACCCCATGATCTACTCACCCTCAAGAAATCCTAGGTGTATATGACTCTTCTTTCAGACAAAACCAATCAGAGTTATATAAAAAAAATGTCCTGGCTCTTCCAAGCTTTATAATGGCAGTGAATGGATGTTGATATTCAATAGTCCAATAGACGTCCAATAATAGAAGTCCATCCATCATACAAAAAGTGCCCCACACGGCTCTGTGGGGGTTAATAAAGCGAATCTGTGCGTTTTTTGTAAGAAAACTGTCATACATGTGTTCACAAGAGAGTGGCGTTCCAGCGGATGACGTAGGACGTAGACCTTCTATTGGACTACTGAATACCAACACCCATTCATTGCCATTATAAAGCTTGGAGGAGCCAGGACATTTTTAATATAACTCTTTATATTCGTCTGAAAGAAGAAAGTCATATAAACCTAGGATGCCTTGAGGTAATTTTCATTTTTGGGTGAACTATCACTTTAATATCAGTTGGTTTTGTTTACATTTGTTTTTAATCTAATATTTATATTTTATTTCAGCTTTCAGTTTTTTAATAGTGACTGTGGTCAGCGCTGTTAAAGCCTGTCCAAGAAGTTTCATTTAAAGAATTGCTGCTACAGCTTTCAAAGCAGTGCATTTCAATACTGCTGGACAAATCACCTTCTGTGATTAATGTTCCCATTTTTATGTAGAATATGCAGGTTTATTTGTGAGTCTCATGTTGCAAGTTCAGTGACGCAGGTAGTGACGATTCTCTCTGGCCAATCAGTGATCAGCAGAGTTTACACGTCACGTTTTGGTAATGGTACCTCAACCGAGGTAGTACAGAAAAAAGTACCAGGTACCAGGTACTGTACCCAGTGGAAAACCCCCCAAAAGTGAACCGTACCGAACCGTGCCGTACCATGCAGTGGAAAAGCGCCAATATATTCCCAATGCTTGCAGAGTTAGCTGTGGAAGTCCTGAACTCTTCAAATCCTTCACACAGGTTGACTCAAGCCAAAGGCAATACGGGCAAACACAAAAACAAAACAATCGTTTTACTAAAACAAAATAGAAAAATAATTTAGAGCCAAAAAATCTGGATGGCATTTCATGGTAAACAAATACTTTACGTGATGGTCTAAGCTTTGCTTATTTTACAACAAAAACAAAAAAATACCCCTACGTACCCTAACAAAACGACTGTGAGAACCCAATGGCAATAATGCAACAGTGGTGGTTGATTGAGTACATATGAACACACATGTATCTCAGTTTAAACAGAGTACATCTCTGCAAATGTGAGTGTATTAGTTTTTGAGACCCTGAATGCATCTGCACACAGATTAGCGTGTCCATCATCAGATTCTGTTCCCTCTCCTAGGCGTTACATTGTCCCAAGAGGTTCTCCAAAACGGATCTTCTGGCCTGCTTTCAAATTAAAGGTAAAATCCCGTGGAGCTTCGAATAAAAGTACAATAGTAGAGCCCAAATTGAATTCGCCCAGGTGTTCTCCTTTTCTCATGCTGATGCCTTCCCGGTTGTTGTTTGTTACATAGCTGAAGTCATTGTAAGTTCCTTTGCTGTATCGAGGGTTGTTGGTGCGGAGCTCCTAAAGAGAAAAAACACTCGTTATTGAAACTGCACTACAACCAAATGGTTTGCATTTTTAAAATTCAACTATCCTCTAAATCTTTTTATGTTTTTTAATCATCGCTCCGGCCTGACAGGGCATCATCACAGTATGGTAAGGGGCGTAACATTTCCGTCACACGCTTGAGGTATTCGGCCAATCACAATACACTGGATAGCTGGCCAATCAGAGCACACCTCGCTTTTTTAGAACGATGCGCTTTGTAAAAATCGACGCGTTTCAGAAAGGCGGGGCATACAGGAGAAACAATAATGTACAGTATGTGGAAAATAATGTGTTTTTTGAACCTTAAACCGCATAAACACATTTCATTACACCAAATACACAAAATAATGTTCTTTTTAGCAGCATCATATGACCCCTTTAAGCCATTTTAGTATTTAAAGGGATAGTTCACCCAAAAATTTAATTTACCCCATGATCTACTCACCCTCAAGAAATCCTAGGTGTATATGACTCTTCTTTCAGACAAAACCAATCAGAGTTATATAAAAAAAATGTCCTGGCTCTTCCAAGCTTTATAATGGCAGTGAATGGATGTTGATATTCAATAGTCCAATAGACGTCCAATAATAGAAGTCCATCCATCATACAAAAAGTGCCCCACACGGCTCTGTGGGGGTTAATAAAGCGAATCTGTGCGTTTTTTGTAAGAAAACTGTCATACATGTGTTCACAAGAGAGTGGCGTTCCAGCGGATGACGTAGGACGTAGACCTTCTATTGGACTACTGAATACCAACACCCATTCATTGCCATTATAAAGCTTGGAGGAGCCAGGACATTTTTAATATAACTCTTTATATTCGTCTGAAAGAAGAAAGTCATATAAACCTAGGATGCCTTGAGGTAATTTTCATTTTTGGGTGAACTATCACTTTAATATCAGTTGGTTTTGTTTACATTTGTTTTTAATCTAATATTTATATTTTATTTCAGCTTTCAGTTTTTTAATAGTGACTGTGGTCAGCGCTGTTAAAGCCTGTCCGAGAAGTTTCATTTAAAGAATTGCTGCTACAGCTTTCAAAGCAGTGCATTTCAATACTGCTGGACAAATCACCTTCTGTGATTAATGTTCCCATTTTTATGTAGAATCTGCAGGTTTATTTGTGAGATGTTATTGAGAGATTAAAGTATAGTCAGTTGTTGATTTTTTTTTTTGGTGCTACTTGTCCCTGGGAGCCCTTCAGACCCAACAGACTGCTTTAAAAATAGTTGCAGTACAAAAATGGCTCAACAAACAGCTGGATACCATGAACTAGATGTTGCACAACCACAATATTTCTAATCAAACAGCTATGAACTTTTGAACGAGGAGAATCACCCTGTGAGTCAAAGCGCTCAGGATACACTGAAATGCATTCTGCCTTTAGGATATACATAAGTGGTTTTGCTGCAATGTGTATTGGAGCTTTTCACAGGTAGTATTCTACTGTAGAAGATCACAGTTATTTAGGTCCTGCAAAGACTGAATATGCCGTCTGTCTCACAAAGTTACTGTACTGTGTGTCATCAGAAGACTTGGAATATGTTTTTGTCATATGCAATAAGAGATGCTTGGACTAGAGGTCTGCATTCCCGTGGCACTCCCGCGGGACCCGACCGGATTTTTTGCGCCACAGGATTAAATTCCAGAATAAAACGCGGTGGCAGTCGGTAACTCTGGTGTAATTTGAACGGGAGCGGGCGGTCAAACAATATCCCATTCCCGACATCCATTTAGAACAGCATATCTGCGCTTTATTCTTATTGACCACCGGTACAGCTTGCGCTCAGTACTGTTATGCACACATGATTTAAACATCACAGTATGTGCATAACAATGCTCAGAGCAGGCTGTACCTGTGGTAAATATAAGGCCCTCAGACAGAACAGTCAGGTTGTCGATGAGTGACAGAGCAGAAAAAGGATGGAGCAAAGTGTGGATGCACTGTCCTTGAAGGACGTTCAACTCGTTTTGTTTATATTTTGCTTAGCCTATAATTATAAATGAAATTTTTCTCTGTGACACTTTACTGTTAACAGAAAAATGTCAAACGAATTTAGTATTTTGACGAGACGAATAAAAATAGCTAACCGCTTTCTCTCTGCCACACTTTTTCCCTATTGTGTTGTCAATGTTCAACGAATTGTATCCTGACAAGACGAATAAAAATAAGAAATACAATTTTTTTACATTTTTATTTTCTCTGAGACTTTTTTTCCTACTGTGCTGCATAAAATATTAAACAAATTTTGTGTCTTAAGATAATTCATATAAATTCAAGTCAAAGTCAATAAATTCAAGACTCTTGACAAGACGAATAAAATAACATACAATTTTGTGCAGACTAGGCTACACTTTTATTTGTCAGCCTATCACTCTTTCTTTCAGTAGCGGAAATTTAAATGTGAGATTCTGGAAACGAGATCTAAATTTAGCGGGCACGGTCGGGTCGGGAAGAAAATTATTCTAAGCGGACGGCGGGTGAACAAAGAGTGAATATATAGCGGGAGCGGGTGGGTGACTTTTCCAAAAAAAAAAAAAGGGATTTTTTCAAAGGGTTACTAATGACACATCATTTGGATATTTTCATGTCTGGGAAAAATTTGGGATTAAACGGGTTAAAATGCATTTTAAACAAAGTTAAGTGGTTTTCATTTCCCATTTTACTCTTAGTAATGAAATAATTTCATAAATTTCATAATTTATAAGTTTAGTGCAGAAGTATCGAATCGGTATCGATGTCGACGATACTACCTTGAAAAATATCAGTATCGTATCGAAAACAAAATAAGGGGTATCGCCCATCCCTACCTCTAGCTTGGACATTAGGCTGATTTATACTTCTGCGTCAGACCTACGCCGTAGCTTACGTATAGACGCACATCCATACGCCATAGCCTGACGTGCACCTCTCTAAAAATCTAACAGCGCGTCAATTCTACGCGGACCGCAAGCGCTGTGATTGGTCTGCTAGAACCCCTCCCTCCAATATGTACTTGAGTTTTGTGTGTGTTTATGTGCACTTTAATATATTTTAATGTTACCCCTTCTTATATAAAATAAAACAAAGCAAAGAACAAGCATCTTATCATTTATTATACTACATATAGCATTATACATCAGTAGTTGTCCGCAACAAACAATGTTGATCTGCTGTGGTACAAGTCCTTGTGCAGATTGAAAGAATGCCATCATCTCCTGTTCCGTTGTTGTCTCCTTTTTGTAGTTTTAAATAATGATTTGATATTTTTTTGCCGCCGTCACGGCTATAATGCTTCTCTGACGAGCCGCTTCTTCGGCTTTTGCCGTGGTACTGCGGGTTACACCAGCAACATGCCCGTGGACACTGCAGACTAGCGGTTTGCATGTGTACTGCACGTTGACGTGGACAACGACGCAGAGGTATAAATGAAAACTGACGCATAGCCTATGGCGTAAAGGCTACGGCGTAGTTCAGACGCAGAAGTATAAATCAGCCTTATTTTATGTTCTACAAAAGAAAGACAGACATATAGATTTGGAACAACACAAATGATAAGCAAATAATGAAACCAAATAAAATAATGATAAGCAAATAATGAAAATAATTTATAAAGCTTTTGTCATATTTGATATGTAAATTTCTAAGGCCACTAAATTAAACAATCAAAAATTAAAAGGGTTTTTATAATGACTGTAAAAATGGCCCTCTTCAGCTTGTGGTACACATATTTTTGCTTTGAAATCCTTACTGAAATGTAAACGTTATATTGTTAGTCATATTTCAAGACGAACAATTATTGGACTGAAGCAACTTGATCATCCATTCTATAATTTTTATTAGAAAAATCTAATTAAAATTTGAGTATCAAATATGATATATCAGGCTTTAAAGGAATGTTTATTCCTTCTTATCTGAAGGATAGGACTTTTTCAGTCAGTTTAGGTGATTACTCTTTTTCTACTGCTCCTCTTGTCTGTGGGGTTCTTCAGGGCTCTATTCTGGGACCAATTTTATTTTCTCTGCATATGTTGCCATTGAGTTTTATTTTTGAAAAATTTGGGATTCATTATGCGGATGATTCACAAATTTACTTGCCATTGAAACAGGACCATAAATGCACTGCATTGGTTACCTGTACGATACAGAATCCATTTCAAAGCGTTGCTGTATGTTTATAAGGCTGTGCATGGTCTATCACCTGGCTATGTTACTGATTTAATTAGTGTCCGTCAATTCAGCAGATCTCTGCGCTCAAATGAACAACTACTCCTAATGGTTCCGCGATCTTGTCTAAAATGTAGAGGGGATCATGCTTTCTCTGTGGCAGCTCCTAGGCTCTGGATTGCCCTTCCTCTGTCTATTAGAACTTCTCCAACTTTGGGTGTTTTTCAGAGTTCGCTTAAAACTCATTTGTTTTCTCTAGCTTCTGACAATGTATGATATTTCTTGTTACTATTATTATTTATGTATTTTTATTTTTTATTTTATTTTACTATTATTATTTTTCATTTGTTTTTATATTATTCTTATTTTTTCCCCCTTATCTTTTTCTGTACAGCACTTCGGTTCCAGTCGTGGTGTTGAAAGTGCTTTATAAATAAAGTTTGAGTTGAGTTGAGTTGAGTTATTTGTACATCTCTCAGTCATTGTATTGCAAAAACGTCATAGTATTTTTTGAGATTTATTTTTGATGTTTATGGCTTTATTTCGATAGGAAAGTAATTAGACAGGAAGCGAAATGGAAGAGAGAGAGGGGGACAGGATCGGGAAAGATCCGCGAGCTGGAACTCAAACTTGGGATGCCTGAAGAACAACGGAACTACATGTCGGCACGCAGAGCTGGGTAGTTACTGATTACATAATCAGATTCCAAAAATTAAGTACTTGTAATTAGATTATATTACATTTTAAAATACTCGTAATCAGACTGCAGTTACTTTATGGATTACATATTATTGATACAATAGCAATGATTTAGTCATAATTTATTAATTGTCCCTAATTCCTCTTTTTCATCTTTTAAATTTCCTTCCTAAAATAGCCTACTGCTTATATACACTCATAAAGTCTTCCAGTTTTGTGGACATTCACACAGAGATCAGTCATTAGTCAGGTGGATTTACAAAAATAATTTCAGGTTTAAGAAGTGTTTCAGCTTTGCAACAACTACTGATGAACACATACATTTTTATTTGAATTATCACTCAGTCGGTTATTTGACCATGTATTAGTTTGGAAGGCGTTTGTCTTCCAAACACACTAAAATGCACAAAATCACCGACTTTTTTTGTCATCTGATCCTCTTTCTCCTAATATATTTTTATTTGAAGTACCCGAAATTTTAAAATAAATATTTTAATAATGAAGTATCACACATGTCTGATGTTGATTACATGACATGCAGGTAAACAAATAAAATATCTAATTTGATTCAGTAAGTGTTTTATTTTGATTCATGTTAAAATGATTTGTTTTAATTTAACATTTTTGTTATTTAATTAATTATTAGCTTTTCATTTAACTCATGAACCCCCTGCAGTTCTATCACAAGCCCAGTTTAGGAAGCCTTGATGTAATATAATGTTTAATGCAATTCATGTTGTTGATAACAAATGGAATATATTTCTGACTCTTTGTTATTTTTATATCAGTATGGAACAAGATTATCCTATTTAAATCAATGTGAAAAACGAGATGGGTCAAAAGTAATCTAAAAGTAGTCTGATTATATTACCTAAAATGTGTAATGTAATTGATGATGTTACTAACTACAATTTTTGGCATGTAATTTGGAATCAGTAACGGATTACAATTAGGGATGCACCCGGTATCGGGCCCGATACTTGTCTCCTGTACTCGTACTCGTTCATGCATCATTTGGATTAAAACTAAATCGTAAAAATAAGACCATTTATAGGGGCATTCACTATAAACGTCATTTATTTTTAACCTTAGGCATACACGACTTTCTAGCGAAAGTGAAACTAGCAGCCTGTGTGAAATGCGCTAGGCTCTACTATTCTGCATCAGTACAAATATGTGCATGCATTGTGCCTACCCAATATTTAAAAAATGTACAAATGCAATAAAAATATCGGCATTGGTACTCGGTATCGGCAAGTACCAAAAATAAAAGTATTGTATTGGGCGAGTACTGGAAAAAGTGGTATCGGTGCATCCCTAATTACAATTTGTAAGTAATCTACCCAGCTCTGTTGGTCTACAGAGCTTTAATCATAACAATTGTGAAATATTCTCCATATACTCCATATTCTCCTATACCATATTACATGAACCTTAACAGCCTGATGTATCAAATATGATACTCAACATAAAACACATGCACAAATGTCCCCCCCCCCATCTTTCTCTAAAGGTTTAATAAACTATTCCATTTCAAAACATGTTATTTTTTGACTATTATTTCATGTCAGGTTTTAAAGAGTTATTAGGGGGAACTACTCCTTTAAACACTCATTCTTTTGCAGAAGCTAAAAAAATATATAGATATATATTATAGATATACTATATAAATATAGTAATATTTGTATTTTACTGCAGAGCAAAAAAGTTCTAACCTTGTCAAAATAGATGCGTATAGATCCCACATTTGTTGCTCCTACAGCCGTGAGTGAAAAGAAACCGTGCGTCCACTCCCCACTCAAGACCACCCGCTCATTATGGCAGAAAAGTTCCTTGATCCAACGCGCAACTCCTGGGTTTACTGACATCAGAGAACCTAGAATAAACACAAACATAAACACACTCTGTGCTTCAGTTATGTAACAACACACTGATGGTATCGCACTGCTCAGTTGCCATCAGATTAGAAAAGATGCTTATAACTTAAGCATATAAGACCTAAAGTCACCATTGACTAATCTTTTAATAACAAATCATATTTTCAAAAAGCAAAGAGAAATAGAAAGAGAAAGAGAACATATAATGCCGCTGACCTGGGAAGTGGCGTCTGTGTGCCACCCTCCAGTCTGTAGGCGAGTGGAAGCAGTGGTAGTCACCTGGAGCCAGATAAACTACACAGTGAAACAACTCATTCCCCTCTTTAGTGACCAGGGTATCCTGGTACGTGCCAGGATCATCCTCATCTGAACATGACAGGAAAAAGGTGAGAAAAACGAAAGTGATTATTTTCAATAATTGGTAGGAAAACCAATATGAAACATACTGGACAGTTTGTTTTTTTGTCCTCACATGGCCTATAAGCTTAGCATGATTTACCCAAGTAGGACATGTTCCTTGATGTTCAGATTGGTCAGACACGATTTTAGGGTTAGGCACAGGTCTTTCAACATTCATATCAGTCTATAATTTCCCTTTGATTTTAGAGGCATCGTTCAAAAGTTTGGGGACAGTCTTTTAAAAAAAATAAATTAATACTTTTATTCTACAAGGATACATTAAATTGATCAAAAGTGACAGTAAAGACATTTATAAATGTTACAAAATATTTTTGTTTCAAATAAATGCTGTTCTTTTAAACTTTCTATTTATCAAAGAATCCTGAAAAACTCCGGAAATCCTTCAAATGCATCAACATATCTGTTTTCAAGACTGATAATATAAAGACATGTTTCTTGAGCACCAAATCAGCTTATCAGAATAATTTCTGAAGGATCATGTCACACTGAAGACTGGATGCTTGAAAATTCAGATTTTCTATCACAGGAATAAATCACATTTTAAAAATATTAAAATTAGAAAAAAGTTTTACAGTTTTAAATTGTAATAATAGTTCACTACTCTTGATCAAATAAATGCATCCTTGGTAAACATAAGAGACTTATATATATATATATATATATATATATAAATCTTACTGACCCCAAACTTTTGAACGGTAGTGTGGATTATACTTAGGGTACAAAGTACCACATTAAGCTTTTCCAGGTACTTGTTAAATTAAGTCACTTGGCACAAACCATTTGAACAATACAGCTTCAGTGTTATAAATTTATTAGGAAAATGTATTGAGGCATTTGAAATATGAAGTCAAACATGCAGTGATCCAAAAATTTACAATACGGACTGTGAAGAAAGAAAACAACTCAAAATGTAAACCAAAATGTTACATATATGAAAATAAATTAGAAAATGCCTTATAAAGAAAATTAACTGGCGAATGTAATTAGAACCGCCTTAACTTTGCCACTGTTGTGACAAGCAGTTAGTGTGTTATTTTCTGCTGACTGAGCAGTGTGCATGCAAATTGATAAGAGCGAGTGATACTCTCCTTCCCGAAATTGTGATTCTTTCGTGTTTACAACCTAAAAATAGATTTAGCTGCTTGGAAAACCTTGAATTAAATGTCACTATTACAAATGTTCTAGTGTTAATCTTGTGATGTTCCAGTATCAAAGGATTTCGATCCAGGAACATTGTCTTACTTGGTCAAAATGACTTAATTTTACTGAGACTTACTTCTGTTAGCAGATAAATTCTCGGTCCAGTTGCGCGGCCCGAGAAACGTCTCCAGTGAGTAGGTCACTCCCTTCACCTGCTCGACCTCACAGTTCTTCACACGGCCAAAATGAAGGATCTTGCCATCAGCTGGACTGATCTGTAGAGCAAATCAACAGTCATATTAAACTAAACTAGTCTGCAAGTATCTGTGTCGACTAGGGGTGTGCGATATTGACAAAGTGCACAAAATACCCAGACAGACACATGTGAAGTATAAAGAAGGTGGAAATAAAAGATATATGCGCAGATGGTCTAAATGTTGTAGAGCAGGGGTACTCAGTCCTGTTTATGGAGATCTACCTTCTGCATAGTTCAGTTCAAACTATGCTCCAACCTGTTTGTAATTATCTAAGGTTCTTGAAGATCTTATTTAATTGGTAATTGGATAGGTATGGAGCTAAACTGTGCCTGTAGACCTCCAGGAAGAGGACTGAGCACCACTGTTATAGAGCAAATCTCAAGAAACCTGTCAAGACCATTTCTGGATCATATTTCACCCAAACTAAACTAGTCTGCAAGTATCTGTGTCGACTAGGGGTGTGCGATATTGACTATTGATATTTTCTGGGATTTTATCGATAATGATAATTAGATGATATTTTGCTGTGTGTTATTGTGCTGGTACCTTAAGGATAGCATGGACAGCTGACTCCTAAAATTTTTTATATTCTTCATATTCTGTGTGGTGGTCAGTTCACACTGATAGAAATTAATCTTTTCCAATAAGTTTAAACTGATTTTTACATTTTATGGGCCTTTTTCTAAAAGTGTCCATTATTTTTTGAGTCAAATTTATTAAGTGAATTAGATTAATAAGACATTTGGGCTGCCTGTTACCAAGCAAATTAAATCAGTATCAACAACGTTCATCTTTGCAATGCAGAGGAAACACAGAAGTTGCATCTGAAGTGGCATTTAGATGTATTTACACACTGATTAATGCAAGAAATGAATGCATTTAACCTGCAATTACAAATACATATATATTTTTAAATATATTAAACAAAAAAACATTGAATACTTATATTTAACATTATTTAAATAATAAAAAAAGATAAAAGATACTTTTAATGTGAAATTAAAACCGCCAGTAGGTGGCAGCAAGTCACTGTTTATAAGTTGTGATTGAACCGAATCAACGGTTGATTCATTCAGGAACGAAACGCCGTCATGTTGCTCAGAGACGCAAAACAGTGCTGTGGCTTTGTTTGGAATTATTTTTGTTGTCGAAATAGCGCAAAAACAGGAAATATGGTGCCTAAAATGTAAGTCTCTTTATTAACTTCTTGTTTATTGAACTGTTGTAAAAATCAATATCACATTTGTAATCATGGTAATTTTTGGAGAAAAACTGCACTCTTCATGTGAAATTGATTTAACTATATGAAGTGGTATAAATATATAAATGTTCTGCCCCCGTCCTGAATTTGTGATCATTCTAAAGGCATTTTAATAGACTGAATCATGCAGTGAAAGAACGCTCTATAATATACGTGCACTAGTCTAGACTTAACGTAATGTATGCGTGCGCTCTGTTGGGGTGTTTTGAATGGTTTTTCAAATCGCACATCGTTATACAACAATTACGATATTATCGCAGACGATATATCGCACACCTCAAGTCGACATTGTTTATTTGGTAAATTTTCTGTAAACTGTATTTAAAAACCAACATAAGTAGATGGATTATGCAAAATTATAAAAATCTAATAAATATTTCAGACACCATAATGAACATTTTGAGCAAATAAATGAAAATGTATAACATTAGGTTCATCTATTGGCTCTATTGAAATGAAAATTCTACGTACATGCTTGCATATGCACCCATTCTCTTGGGTTTGCATATGAATGAAAGTGAATGGGACAAAAAATCTATCCCATCTATAAAGAATGCCTCTATAGTTACAAACCCAGACTCACCACGCAGTGAGAGTCGCACACTGGCCGGACCTGAGGTTTGAGTTTTCGCCTAAAAAACTCGCCCAGGTTTCTGTAGTGCTGTAGATCCTCTATGGCCGCTTCTTTCATGTTGACTCCAAACGTCCATATATACAATCTGAAGATAGGTTTCCGTAACCAAGTTGGCAGGTCCACCTGGTTCAAGCGACCCCAGGCTCTGGAGAGAAGTCTTGTGGGTATGGACTTGTAGATTGTAACCTACAACCCAAGAGACAGAGTTTGCAGACGCCATGCTCAAATATCTTATACACAAAAGCAAACATTTGCAGAAAGACAAGTAAACACACGTAATGATCTTCCACCTGCAAAGCAAATGTAAGCAATTGCCACTTTGTTTTCTTTATATATCATCTGCATAAAAATAAGTGATGTACCGAAATTTCAGCAGCTCAAAATATATGGCCACAACAGCAAAAGGTTTCAGCCAAAATGGTTTTGGAGGGCAGAAAACATTGACTGAAACAGATACATGACACCATGAACAGCATATACAGTACTATGACCCAATTATAAATGAAAACCAATCTAAATTTTGGTTTCTGTAAAAAAAACAAAAAACATTTTGGTGCATTACTAATAAAAATTGTATTTGCGTCAAACACTTTTTTCGTCTGGTTATACTAATTTATATTAATATTACATATGCAATTCACACACACAATGACTTGAACCTTTTCTGAATGTTTTTAATTGAAACTGATTTCAAATTTATTCAGAGATTTTTTGGGGGCATAAAGTAAATAATAAAGTAATATCATAATGGATTAAAAAAGCATTAACAAATTCATCATTAAAAACTCTTTACAAGAAACCCTTGAGTACCTAATTAAGTGGCATAAGTTTTCTGGATAAAAGCATCCGCTAAATGACTAAAGGTAATGTAATATGTGTACTACTATCAGTGTGGCAGTTATATGTACAAGATTTCATAATCATGATGCTATGACACCTCCTGTATGTCCAACACTACAGATTTAGATTAACAAACCAAATGTTTTCCTGTTTCTCTGTAACTTCCTGTCTGCCACTGGAGATACGGTATCTGCTTCAGAGCATCCACATGGGCTGCCTGGCAATGTTTTTTGGGAACTGAACAATAGTGGTGTCAGAACCACCGTGGCACGATGCCCTCGACTGGGTCTAGAGACAAAGTGTTCCTCAGTTCAGAGCTGTACTGTGGGACAATGGCTCTTTTCACACGAGTCCCAATGGAGCTCAGAGCTCAGCGGGTCCATATGCAAGCGGCCATCTGCTGATAGCAGCAGCACGTACTGCTGACCTCACATCAGTTTTGTAGCATCCTTTCTTCTCTGGGTTATGAATGAAAAGTACTGATCCCAGATCAGGGTTATTTAGGGCATTATTCTTGTATGATTCCAGTAACGTTTCCTATAATCGTAGACAAAATCCCAAATGGCCATTACACATTGATTACTCACTGATGGATGGCATTTATGTCCCTGGATAGTGAGATTTTGCAAACTCAAACACACACAACATCAGTCTGTGGGCTCTATTTGTTGTTTCCACTGTACTTACTCTGCTTGTGGGCCTCCAGCCTACTTTGGCCAACTTATTTAAAAAAGTTAAATATGATTAATATATTCTAGATTCATTACATGTAAAGTAAAATATTTCAAAAGTTTTTTTGGTTTAAATTTGATGATTAGAACTTACAGCTCACGAAAGCCAAAAATCTGAAAATGTCACAATGCCAAAAACAAAACAAAACAAAAAACACATAATGGTCTAAGAAACATAAGTCTTTTTTAATACAGTTTCTTGTTTCTTATTAATTTTAGGGTGAAATATTACCTAAACATGTTTTCTTGAGATTCTTGAATAATAATAGAAAGGAAGGAAGGAAATATTTATAAAAATGCAGAAACATACACACAGCCCACTCACACATACCAAAGACCAAACACAAAGACGCCCATACAGAAGACAATAAACAGCAGAAGACAAACGCTAGAAAAGATTCCTGAGATAGGAAAGAGACAGAAATAGCAATTCTCCACTTTACAGTAAATCTAACCTCACGGCCGTTCACACTGCTTTTATTGACTAAACTGATCATATACTCCTCCTTTCAGCTCAATTCCACTTACATCAGTCTAAGCAAAGGCTGCTTTCACCTGCTTAACACCTTTAGTCTCATTTAGGGTTTATTGTCACCTTCCTGCTGCACTTGCGATAGAAATGGTACATGAGGAGAAATACATGACCAAAGGCATGGTCCAGTCTCAAAAAAGTCCACATTTTAATCAACATAAACCTATTTAACCAACACGAACATGCATGTTTTTATGGGTCATGCCGAGTGGGACGGGTCCACAGAACTACTGAAGCCATGAGGGATATCTGCCAGTAATCTTTTTTATTTTTTTTGTGTGTCCATTGCGCTATTTTTAGCACCAGTGTGGGTAGATAACATTCCAGATCAACACAACTGTTAGGCAAACGGAACGGCACGTGCAAGAATATTGCACCTCTATTCTGGTCCTGTCGATGGAACGCATTGTCTTGTTTGGCTAGAACTGCTCGCTTTTTATTGAGAAGGACACTAAGAGCTACTGCTTCTGGCTAAAGTGAGATTAGCTTTACTGTGTCAGTAAAGTAGGTCATATTTGGCCCTGAAAGTGATGACACAGCACCAGCGGGGTTGACAGCTACCATCCAGGGCTGCAGCTACACGGGCTATCTATAGAATATAATACGGTGTCCACCCTAATCAGGATGAAACCCTGTTCTGACCTGTGGACAGAGGAGACTTAGCCATAAAAGGCTAACACAAACACTCAATGTGTCACCTGACTTTGCTCACAATGATGCACACCAGAACATCTTTACTTTGACCCTTTCAAAATGTGCTATCCAATAACCTCTGTTTGAGAGATCAACATTTTCTTCATGGTCAGAGCGAGTAATCAGATGGTAATAATCCTCAAGTGTATTAATGATAAAAACTATAGCAACACTAGCTCACGCCAGGTTTGTCGGGCTCAGTGGGCAACCTTTTGGTGCCTGGGCTACATTATTTCCCTCCACAATCTTAAAGTACATTGACCTGTTGTGCGTCATCATAACAGCATGATTCCTCTCCCACAGAAAGGTGTACATTTTTATTGCTCTTACTCTAAATAGACAAACTGCAGCAGGCATAACATCGGACCATACTCCGGAGACCAGTCTAGTCACAGCTCTGGTATGAGCAAATGTAAATAGTGATGCTCAAAGTCCTTTGTGTAAAAGAAAGCGAGTCCACTTGGCAGCCATCTTTGTAATGGCGCCAAACAGAAAGCTCCAGTTAAGTACAGCTTCTATGCATTTGAATGGTTAAAGACTGCAATCTCTGAAGCTGTTTGTCAATGTAACATTAAAATAATATTGCCTCATGCCTCTACCTAAAACTCCAAAAATGTACCTATACATACAATTCACTTCAGTTTCCAAACACTATTGGCAGTCGTGATAATTATAGGGGTAGATTATTAATTTGTAAACTAACTCACTTTGATGTTGGCATCATAAAATGTTCTATATGTATGGCTTTTCTGACATAGTAAACTTGCTCCATAGCTCACCTGGTACAACACTGCACTCGCATTGCAGAGCATATATGTATGAGTCCCATGAAATACGAGAGCTCAAAAACCTGTGGAAGCAATCTAAATTGCAGGGTTGCTTCAGCAAATGCGTTTGAATTTCATGTTTGCTTTTGTTAACACTACTGGTTAGGTTTAACGTAGGGTTAAGTCTAGACAGTACATCATTTTCAATCATGACAGAGCATTAACCTTTTAACGCCACTCAGCGAACATTTAATTTTGGCACTGCTGCAAAACGTATAACAACCAATGTAATAAAAGGTTGCCAGATTTACATTCATCTGACATTTACGTTCATGTTCAAACCGACAATTCACTTTGAAAGTGTCGCGAAATGTGCAAGAAGCAATGTAATATAATTTTGCAGAAATGTTGCCATGGGCATGTTTTCCAGTGTGCCTGGGTTACTGGTATTGTATGTTGCATTTCTTTAACTCAAGTAATACAAAAATAGCTGTATTTTTAGGTCAGTCAACGAATACGCATGAGCATTCAAATGTAAACAAACAGGTAATGCCTCTATGGAAAAAAAAAAACGTTTAGCACTTTAAACTGTGAAGCATTATTACATAATGTTTAATATGGCCTATGATTAGACAGCGTCCTACCTTCTGCTCACATTTATTTGTAGGGTTTTGTTCAAATCTTTCATTTAAAAATTCTACCTAACTTGACCTGCACCTGGCAGACAAGCATTTCTGACTGGAAGTAAAAAAAAAAAGACAAAAGGCTTACATTGAAGTTTGGACTTGAGCCAATACAGAGGGCTCTTTTCACTTGGGACACTAAGCAACCATGTAGAAAGCTATAGCAACGTCCTAGAATCACAAAAGCAACTTTGCCGATGCCACCACCACTCACATTTTCTTGAAGACGCAAAAATCTAGTTTCCTTTGTCATAACATATTTAGAGGTAAAACTACTCATTATTACACAACCTAACAACGAACCTGACAACCCGCGTTTAGCAGCTCCTCTGTGCAAATGTTGTTTCCATCCTATAACTACATTTGTAAAAGTGCTGTGCAAATGCCTGGTATAACCTTTCACATTAAACACTTTTAGCGCTGTGCATTATGTAACCTCATTCTAGCGGTTGACAAATCCAGTTAATATGCCAAAGTGTGCGCTGTGCCCTAGTGCGCTTAAACGGCTCTAAACAATGACTCTGGGTTTTTACGAGAGCTTTCAGTCATCAGGTTATCATTCAATTGAATTTAGAGCGTTTCTACCCCTCCCCCATCCTGTCCAGAGCAGATGAATAGCCATTGCAGAACCTTGCAGTTCAACAGCTATTCACAGTGCATTACTCAAACTGCGGAGGCTGTTTGAGAGCAGATGATTGCAGCCAGTAAAAAGACAAGGTAAAGTCTTCGGATTCGGACTCTTTCTCTTTCGCACACAGTCTGTCCTACATAGCCCCCCTCGTTTCCTCATTGCAGGCACATATTGGCCAATCAGTGGCTGAATCTGAGCCTCCCTTAGCTCTTTGCATCTTTCGCTCACTCCAGGGGAACAGCATCTGCTCCGAGTAGAGCTATGCAAATGGTGTGGATTGAATCGGACGGAGAGTGCTAGCAACAGCTT